AGACAAAAGAAAAATGAGGAGGAACCCAATAGAGGGATGCTTTTGGAAGCTCTCATCAAGAAATCCCAATGGACTATGATATGAATATTTGAAATTTGCCCAGTTCTGACTTTTTTCTGGTTCTCTGTCTAGAACTTGTAATGCTAACTACTCTTGCCTTTACTTCTCTTTCACATCCCCTATTCACCAGTCTTATCCCTACAGATAAGAGTTATGAAATTTGGGAGTCTTTTAGATAGACCCACTGAAGAGGTACCCCAATTGCCTCACCCTGCATCTCTGTTCAGCACGGAAGAAGCCAGAGCAGTCTATGTCTGATTCCCTATCAGCAATTTGGGCAACCTCGTAAGAGGATGGTGTGATAAGAATAGGAGGTAGGAATTGGCTAGGCAGTTAGGGTAAAAAGACCCCAAAGAAAAGTAGCCAGTTTCTTAGCTAAGTCACAATGTCGTTGGGCCTCTTAGCAACATATTCTGTTCCAAAGGCCAAAAATTTCAAAAGTATTTGGGAGCTTGTATGTAATCCTTAAAAGATTTAGGGATATCTCTTCAGAGGGGGGAATGTTAGAGTAGCCAAAAGCCCCATAAAAACAATAAATAAAGAAGAAAGAGTACATGAAGTTATCAGAAAAAAAGTGATGGGGAGATATGGGAGGAGTTGGAGAGGAGGGAGTGGGAAGGATTTGATCAAAACACCTTATATACATATATGAAATTCTCAATAAATTATTAAAATAATTTTTAAAAAAGACCCTCAATTTCAAAGAGAAGAAGTCTATGAGCTGCTAAAAATGAATCAAAATCTCAAGGCTTGGACCATCTTGTGTGAGACCCTCAGGCTGACAAGCAACCACCATGTCAGCAGGGCCCGGCAGGAGGCTGACCACCTTCTTGCAGGAGTACGAGCCTCTTAGACCACAGTTCAGGTTTAATCTTCCTTTAACATCGGTGACTGAAATGAAAGACAGCAAGAAGGACAAGCACCACAGTGCAGCCCTAGGAGTGTTAGTGTTATAGCCTCAGTGAAGGACCTCAGTGCCAAACCTCAGTGGCCCTGAGTCTGAGACACATGCACACCCCACTTCTGAATGCCCACTTTCCCATAGGGAATAAACCAATGTCTTACATGAGCATTGTTCTCAGCTTCAGAAAGTCATTGTGCTCTGGGTTCTCCACCTCCACAACACCCCACGGGTAGAGACGACCTCTGACTTTCTTGCCTTTGGCCTCTATCAACTGATTGGATCCAACCACGGAGAATGGAATACTGGCCTAGAAAGAAACACAGGGTAGAAGGTAGCAGAGAATCCCATGTTTACTGTAAAAACAGGGATGGACACAGGTCTGGGTCACTGCTGCTTCATTATAATGTGTGGTGTTCTGAGACAGGATCTCACATGTAGGCCTGTCTGGCCTGGAACTGGCTATGAAGATCAGGATGGCCTTGAACTCAGACATTTGCCTGCTGCTTGCCTCCCAAGAGGTAGGATTAAAGGTGTGTATTACCATGCCCAGCATCAATTACAGTGTTTAACTGAGAGCTAAAGGAATATACACTTTACTTGGAAATGTCAAGCATTTTCCTCCTGGATAAATTTCAAACAAATAACACTTCCAAACCTTGAGTAAAAGTTTTCTAAATATATTAACAGCAAAAATACAACTGTAATAGGACTTTTAAAATTTATGTTTTATGTATATGTATGTTCTGCCTACATGCATGTGTCTGTGGAGGCAGGAAGAGAGTGTTAGACCCACTGGAACTGAATGAAGTTAAAGACAGCTGTTAGCTGCCACATGGGTGCTGGGAACCCCAGTCCTCTGCAAGAGCAGCAAACACTCTTAGCTGCTAAGTCAATCTCTCTAGTCTCCTTTCCAGTCTCTTGATGATGAAGCCTTCATGGCCAAATTTTTCCTTTTAAATACACGTAGACAATAGGAAATGGGAGGAGCTCCCACTGTGCACCTCAAGCCAGTTCTTACCTTGAGGAGTCTAGTTTGCTCTTTAAAATCTTCATCTTCATCTGATTCTGCATCAGGTAAGTGATAGATTTTGATATTATGCTCTTCAATTTCATCCAAAATCTCAAAGAATAACAAAAACAGGACCAATTTTAAGAAACTGCATTATTATTATAGTTAACTCTAACTCATATTAGAAATACGCAAGAATCAAGCTGGGCGTGGTGGCGCACACCTTTAATCCCAGCACTTGGGAGGCAGAGGCAGGCGGATCTGTGTGAGTTCAAGGCCAGCATAGCGAGTTCCAGGTCAGCTGGGGCTACAGGGAGACCCTGTCTCAAAAAGACCAAAAAAAAAAAGTAAGAATTATCCATGTATCAATGATCGAGCTGATTTGTTATTTTCAAGTAATCTGAAAAACTACTGAAAGGATTAATTATGCTTGATATGCTTGAATTTTGAGGGGTTTTCTATCCATAACAACAACAACAACAGTAACAACTACACACCTCCACTTTCGACATACAAACCAGGAGGAAAGCTAATGACAGCTCTAATACAACAGCTAAACTGAAATTACTCACACATTATCTGCCAGGACAAGTGCCAGAGGAGACCTAAGAGACACTACATGCGCAGGAAGTCAGAGAGGCCTAGAGTACAGAAGGAGGGGACACAGTTCAGACAGAAAGAATGTGTGCTGCAAGAAGAGGTGTGTTTGGAGAATAACAAGAAACTGAGAATATGGACCCTAAACTTACACACCCCCCAAAACATCATTTCTTTTGATTTTTGCTTATGTTTTGAGACAGTCTTCCTATAACTCCAGCTGGCCTGGAACTTGCTATGCAGAACAGGGTGGCCTTGATCTCACTAGGATTAAGGTGTGTGCCACCACCACACCCAGCTTTCTTCTGTTTATACTTTTTTGTTTCTGTCATTGCTTATTTTTATTTTTTGAAACAGTGTCTTACTATAAAATCCACGCTGACCTATGATAGGAATGTGTCTAGTTGCAGAGATGCAAAGGGCAAATAAGACAGCTGGTCAGAGCAAAACCAGGAGAATACGCATTCTGCAAGCACAATCATCGCATATTCAGACACCAAAGCACTGTTCGTTCTGTAGGGATTATGGGAGAATAGTACATAATGAGACTTGACTATGTTTTCAAACTGAAAAGTCAAGTGGCAGAGGACCCAGGTTCGAATCCCAGCACCCACATGGTGGCTAACAACCTTTCTAACTCCAGTTCCAGGAGATCTAACACCATCTTCTGATCTCTGTGGGCATTACATGACATGGATGCACTTACACACATGCAGGCAATACACTTATACACACAAAATTAAAATAATAAATACTTAAAATAAGAAAAAGAAACCTAGTCTTCATAGACTTCCAGGTCAGTTGGGACTACATGGGTACCCTGTCTCAAAAAGAAACAAACAAAATGATTCCACTGTGTAAAAACAAAAACATACACGGACTATGTTCTGGAAAGCTACATATTTAACAGTTCCTCCTATAGATAAAAATGATTTTTTCAAAGGTAGGATATCTCAACTGTTCTTAAAAAGTAAAAGATGGGGAGGGGGCAAGTAAATGATATAAAAAAAAAATTTTATTTATTATTTTTATTTTATGTGTGTGAGTGTATTGCTTGAATGTATGGTAAGTGTACCCATGCTGTGCAATGCCTGCAGGTCAGAAGAGGGCTTTAAATCCCCTGGAACTGGAGTCAGAACAGTTGTTAGCTGACATGTGGGTGCTGGAATTGAACCTGGATCCTCTGCAAGAACAGCCACTGCTCTTAACCACTGAGCCATCTCTCCAGCCCCCAGATAATTATTTTTTAATACTATATAGTGCAGTCAACAAAGAGGCTTTATAGAGATACACAGGACACCACAGAGACAACTGGTCAGTGTTGGACTAGCTGGGAGGTGAAATGCATCAGCAGTGGACAGCTGCAATAATGCCATCTTCAAAACTCATATACACACCCTTAAACAGACCGTTTTCAGTAAAGCACTTGGGTGAGATAATAGGCCTTCACAGAGATCACAGTCCATGCTCCTGTTAGTAACCTAAGGTTTACAGGAGCACCTGTACTCAGCCACTTCCTCCTCACTGAAGCTGCTTTTAATCTACGAATTTAAACAATACAAATTTGAGCAAAAAGGAAAAAAAAATACCCTACAAATATTAAATGCTCTTTGATTTCCACTATGCAATTCCAAGTGAATTCTGCAGCCCTGCCTTTGGCAACTGAAGTGATGTCTTCCTTCCTGCTTCCTGAGGGACTGGCTCTCACTCACCCTTTTCTTCAGCCTCTCCCGTTCCTTCAGTGTGAGAGTATCTGCTTTTGCAATGACAGGCACAATATTCACCTTATTGTGAATTGCTTTCATAAATGCAACATCCAAGGGCTTCAGCCTAAAAGCAATGTTTAAATGTTATACATTTATGGAAAGCATAGGGACACAACATAAAATTACTGAAGCTACTGTAATACAACCAAGTTTCCAAAATAAACAAACACTGACCCATGTCCAAAGGGTGAAATGAAATAGAAGCAGCAGTGCACTCTGTTGTCAACGATGTGCCTCCTGTTCAGTCCACTCTCATCATGGAGGTAGCGCTCAAACTGCTCATCGATATAGGAGATAATCGTCTTAAAACTAAAACAGATTCAACAGTAATCATGGGGCACAGAGACAGGTAGTTCTTCACTTCAGAGGGAAAACAAGTTCCTCTTCCCTTTCTCGCCTAGTGTGTTTAACAACCCGTAACAGAAATTGACTCCTTGGATTTGTTTTTTTCCTTTTCATGAAACTGTGACAAGTACTAAGCAGCTTTCCTGAAGCACTGGAATCAACAGCCTGAACACATGAGATTGCAAAGCACCTGAAAGGTGACCTCTAAGGTTAGAGTCACATGCTTTCTGTTGGTGGGTTCAGAACCAGTAGGAAGCAGAAACCTTGATTTCCTTACTTGTGAAAAAGATGTCAAAGAGCAGCTGCTTACAGGCACTATGACACAAACTTTACCTCCTTCCACATGGCTGCAGTTCAAAACAGCATTTCATTTACATCTCAGAGCTCATCCGAGTACTCTTAAAGAAAAAAAATAATTCTCAAGCTGAGCACAGTGCCTCACTCCTGTAATTTTATAGCACTCAAGAAGCTGAGGCAGGATGTTTCAGATAAAGGCTCATCAAGGTCAGCCTGGACTATTTACAGTGAGACCTATCTTAAAAAACTGACTGCTCTTGCAGAGGACCCAGGTTTGATTCCCAGCACCCACATGGAGGCTAACAGCCATCTGTAACTCCAGTTCTGAGGGAATCTGATGCCTCCTTCTGACTTCCACGGGCACTGCACGACATGGGTACACTTACACACATACAGGAAATACACTCACACACGTAAAATAAAAATAATAATTAAAAAAAAAAAAAAAAAAAAACCCAAATAGCCAGTATTTAATGCTTTAGATTATTATTAGGTATACCAACTTCAAGTGCTGCTACCATTGTCTATAAACTTATATACATTAGATTAAGTTAATGAAAACAAAGGCAGAACACTGGGCACTTTGGGGGCTCTGCATACTGTGGGTTCATACCAATCCCTACAGTTGATGGCATCCCCATAGCCAGGTGTGTCCACTACTGTAAGGCGCAGCTTGACCCCTCGCTCTTCAATCTCAACGGTTGAAGCTTCAATTTGGACAGTTCTTTCAATTTTCTCTAGAAAAGAAACAAACTTAATAGAGAATGTGCCTCATAATCACATTAGCATCCTAAAGTAGAGTTTATACATTATTTATGTTCTTATAACAAATGACTTGGAAGGTCACTATCTATCTTTGGAGGAAGGTGCTCAGAAAGTAACATGATTGTCTAAAACGATCCCAGTGTCAACAAGGCAAACACCAATGTTAAAGATTATAAAGTTCAGCTTGAGAGCATTAAAAATACCACTATTAGGGCTGGCAAGATGCTCAGTGAGTAAAGGAACCTGCCACCAAGCCTGTCAACCTGAGTTTAAAACCTTAGAACCCATATAGTAGAAGAGAACCAACTCATAAGCAGTCCTCTGATCTCCATATGTGCACCATGGCATATGCATGTCCATATATATACATGTACATACAAGCACACAAACACACTAAATAAATGTAATAATATTAAAAATATTTAGTTCTGAAATAAAGAAAACTTATGAATTAATTTAAAACCGAATGAAAAAAATATTGGTGAAAAGGTTGTAAGTCCTCACTGCTGTAGCTCAAGATTCAGACTCTGGCTTTGTAAACTTAATCCATTCATATAAACAAGTATTTATGGAGCTGGACACATAGCTCAGCAGTAGAGCACTTGCTTAGCATGGAGAAAGCCCTGGATTCAACCTCTAGCACTTTAAATCAAACAAACGTATGTATAGATGCCAGTGTTCTATACTGTAACATGGAGACAATAGATGATTTAGACATAAATTCCTATACTAATTTCCTACACATATAACATTTTTTAAAGGCCACAGTGGGGATTGAACCTAGGGCCTCATGGTGTACTTCAAAGGCTCTACCACTGAGCTACACCTGCATCCTTGTAGGTAACATTTTTAATGATATAAAACTCAAATAAAGGGTAGATATATAGATAAGTGTAGTTACACCCAAGATCTTAGAACCTCAGATGCAATACACTTTCCCTACTTCAGTGACTAAAAAAACACAAAGCTAAGGTATGATGTCATTTACACATTCTAGCAACTTGCAGGTAGAATTTAATTTAGAGTAATGTAGAATTTTTACCTGCAGCTCCAGGTATAATTCTTTCTGGGTAGAGATCAGTCAGGAATAGGCTGTTTATGAGAGTCGATTTTCCTAGACCGGATTCACCTTAAATGAAAATGACAACCTGTCATGTCCTTCCACAGATGGTTGTTAAACCTGCTGACCTTTCTATGTGGTTGGCAGACACTAGAACTTGACCAAAAATAGGATGGACAGAAGTCCTTGCTCCCATGGAGCTTTACAGACTAGTATAGGAAATGTCAGACAAAATAGTCATCACTAATTCTGGAGAGCTGTGAGTGTTACAGCTGAAAAAGGATGAGATACAGGTGATACCTCAACAAAGGTACTGGCAATGCTTGTTTTGAAAAGTCAGTTGCAGGGACTGGAGACATGATTTAGCAGTTAAGAACACTGGTTGCTCTTCCCAAGGACCCAGGTTCAATCCTAGCACCCACATGGCAGCTAACAACCATCCGTCCAGGGGATTCGCAGACTTCCTCTGGCCTCCAGGGCTTTGCACCACACGGGTGCACTTAGATGCACGCAGGCAAAACACTCATACATGAGATAAAAATAAATTAATTAAAAAAAGATCAGTCACACCCAGACATGGTGGCCCAAGCCTGTAATCCTAGCACACGGGAAGCAGAGCCAGAGCCAGAGGTAGAACCAGGAGTATCTCTGTGAGATGGAGGCCAGTTTGATCTACATAATGAATTCTAGACCAGCTGGGGCTTCAGGGAGACACTGCCTTTAAAAAAAAAAAAAAAAAAGATAAGTTGCAGGGGATGGGGAAATGGTTCCATTGGTAAGTGCTTGCTAGAGAAGCATGAGGACATGAGTTCAGATCCCCAGCATCCAAGAAAAAGCCAGGGCAGTAGCACATGTGCCTGTAATCTTAGTGCCAGGAAGGTAGAGACAAGATCTTCAGTACTGTGGAAAATAGGGACTCTTAAGCTCCAATAATAAACCCTGTCTCAAAAAATAAACAAACAAATAAGGTGGAAAGCAACTGAGGAAGACAACTGACATTGACCTGTCTATACCTGCACACACACGCACGCACGCATGCCCAGGTCAGTTGCAGTTTCCCAGTTCTACCACTAGATCATTATTAGTCTTCACTTGAAAGATGTGATATTTCACTGGGCACAGCTTTTGGGGAACAATTATAAGAAATGTGCTTATGAACCCAGAACATGACAAGACTGTCGAGCTGAACTGAGAGTGCCTCACTGTGCTGTTCACTTTTACTAGTGTCTCCATCCTAGCTATGAGTTTCTCAAGTAGGTGCCACAAAACAGAAAAAAAGACACCCAAGACTTCATTGTTTTTTTAAATTTTTAAACAAATCTAAGTCCATCATGAAGTCCAGTGAGACTCATATTCCAAACTCTCCTGCCTCGGCGTTCCTTGTCTTGGAACTCTAGGACTGCCACAAAAAGCCTAGCTTAAGAGACTTTGTTTTTCTTAAGATTTATGTTTAGCCAGGCGTGGTGGCACAAGCCTTTAATCCCAGCATTCGGGGAGTCAGAAACTGGTGCATCTCTGTGAGATTAAGGCCAGCCTGGTCTACATAGTGAGTACCATTTATTTCTTCCCTCCTTCCCCTTCCTCTCCCTGTAGCTCCAGTTGGCCTCCTGTAACTATGTAGACCAGGCTGGCCTTAGCTCAGAGATCTGCCTGGCTCTGCCTCCCAAGTGCTGGGATTAAAGGCATGTGTCACCAAGCCCAGCCAACCGTTACCATTTATAACTGGGGCTACTATGAAAAAAGTGGCTGTCAATATTAGCATACAAGTCCCTATGGATAGAGCAGGATTGCTGGGTTGTAATGATTAGCATTTTATATTTTCTTGTCAGCAGTTGGAAGAGTTCCAGTTTGTCTGACATCCTTGCCAACTCTTGCCTGGACTCCAGCCTTCAAGATTCCAGCCTTCCAGTGAGGGAGCTATGATGTCTCACTGTGGTTTTCATGTGTACTTTCCAGATGAAAAAAAGGTGTACATCTTATATGGGTTTCTTAGCCATTTTGTTATCTTCCTTAGTAAAATGCCTGTTCCAATCATTTGTCTCCTTTTTGTAATTGCATCATTTGTCTTACTAAACCATTAAAGACTTTTACATATTGTGGATACAAATCTTTCAGGTATAGCACTGAAAATACTCTTGGTTTATGGCCTAACTTTTTAATTTATTGGTGTTTTAAGTAACTTTTCTTCTTTTTGTTAAAAAAAAGATTTGTATTTATTTGTATGCCAATGTGTGTATGTGTGGGTGCCAGTGGGAATCTAACCCTAGTCCACATGACAGAGCTCTTATCTACTGAGGATCTTTCCAGCACAAGTAAAGTTATTTTGAGGCAGGGTATCACTGTTACCCTGGCTGGTCTCAAACCCCTAAGAGATCTGCCTCCCAAGTGCTGTGATTAAAAGATATGCAACCCCACACCTAGCTCCAAGGTAAATTTTTAAATTTACTTTATGTGTATGAGAGTTAGGAACACATATGTGTTAACTGCACCGTGCTGTGCAATATCCACAGAGGTCAGATGAAGTTATTGGATCTTCTGGAACTGGAGTTACAGACAGTTGTTAGCCACCATGGTGAGTGCTAGGATTTGAACCCTGGTCTTCCGCAAGAATGGTCAGGGCTCATCTCTCCAGCCCCCACAGAGGTAAATTTTTAATGAAATTAAAGCATTTTTTTCCCCTTGTGGGAACTGTTCATAGTCTACTGAAATATGCTTTACTTTAGTCATAAAATTGTTTCTCTATTTTCTTCTAAAAATTAATGTTTTCCCCATAGTTATCTAGTTGGTATTTTAAAAAATATTTATTTTTATGCGTACGAATGTTATACCTGAATTTAAGTGCACCTGTGTCGCGCAATGCCCACAGAGGACAAGAGAAGCTGTTGGATCCCCTGGAACTGAAGTTACGGCCAGTTGTTAGCTGCCATATGGGTGCTGGGATTCAAACCCGGGTCTTCTGCAGGAACAGTGTTCTTAACTGCTGAGCCATCTCTCCAGCCCCCTAGTTGGTATTTTTTAAAGATTAACTTTCCACTACTGAATTGTGGCAACTATGTCAAAAGTAACTCATCTTTGAGATGTGGATTTCTTTATGGGCTGTTGCTCTGTTCAGTTATCTCTACCACAGTGTTTTTAGGATTGCAAGTATTCAAATCTAGTTAAGTCGTCTGACTTGATTCTGTTTCTAAGCTGCTTTGTCCAGGCCTTCTGTAATTACATTTAAACAGTATTAAAAGGCTGGTAAAATTCTTTATTGGAATAAAATTAACTCTTATATGTCAACTTGGAAAAGGGCATGATTGGGGCTGGAGAGATGGCTCGGTGGTTAAGAACTGGTTGTTCTTGCAGAAGACCCAGGTTCAAATCCCAGCACCCACATGGCAGCTAACAACTGTCCATTAAGTCCAGTTCCAGGGGGATCCGACAGTCTCTTCTGTCCTCTGTGGGCATTGTACGACACGGGTGCACTTAACCACATGCAGGCAATATACGCATACACATAAAATAAAGACAATAAAATAGAAAAATAGCATGATCTTAATAGTTTTCCAAACAGGGAGCAGACCTCACAACTGATTTCCATGTTGTTTAATTGCAGCAGTTTTCAGCATAGTCTCAACATATTTGCTAAATTACTAAACAATGTGTTTTTATGCTACAATAAACAGTGCTGTCAAGGTTTTATACCCTTCTTCACTAACCTCTACCCTCTTCACCCCCCTGGGCCTTTGGTATTTTAAGATGGTCTTATGTAGCCCAGGCTGGCCTCAAACTTACTATGTACCTAAACTCTGGGCTTAAAACTCTTTATGTTCCTGCCTTTACTTCCTGAGGGCTGGGATTACAGGTGTGTAACAACATATCCAGCTTGGTTCTCTTTGTAAAGTTCATTTTTTTAAAATTATTTGTTGGTGGGCTGGAGGGTAAAAACACTTGCTGATCTTAGAGAAGACCTGGATTTAGTTCCCAGCACCCACATGGCTCACAACTGTCTGTAACTCCAGTTCCAGGTTATCTAATGCCCTCTTCTGGTCTCTGTGGGCACCAGGTACTGCTCATGTGTTACACATACATACATGCAGGTAAACAATCAGGTACATAAAAATTTTAAATACATTTTAAAAATTGTTGGCAATATACAGAAATAAGAGTTAATTTCTATGAATTCAACTGGTATCTGCAATGTCACTAAAATTCACTAATCCATTCTAGTAGTTTTGTAGATTCTTTAGTAACTTATTTTATATATCTGGAACTGAAGAAGCATTCTTTCAGCTTTTCACAATATAATGCTATATTTCAGAACTGTAACAGGGTATGGTGGTATCTTTAATCCCAGCACTCAGGAGGCAGAGGCAGGAGGAGCTCTGTGAGTTCAAGGGCAGCCTGGTCTACATAGTGAGTTTAGTGAGTTCCAGGCCAGCTGGGGGTAGAGGGAGACTCTATCTCAAAAAGACCAAAAAATAAAAAATAAAGAATTGTAGTATACACCTTTAACCAGGTTGAGAACTTTTCCTTTTATTTCTAGTTTACTCAGTTTTGTTCTTGAATGGATTTTTTATTCTTATGAATGTACTTTTCAGATAGCATGGTTTTCTTCCTTTTGATCACAGTAGAGAACACTCATTCTGGATAAACTATGTGTTCCTGTAATAAGCGCCATTCATTTAGTCAGCTGTCCTATCACTAAATTGCTTTGAAATTAAGAATGTTTTATCAGAACTGATAAATTTGGGAATATCAGCAAAATGAAATTTTCACATTTTTCAAAACTAGAACATAGAAAAATGTACTTCTGACACATACACATCAAATACCTACCAGCTACCTCAAATCACCAAATGTTACAAGCCACACCCACTATGCCTAGTATGGAAACTTTATAATCTATCAGCAGACAATTCACAAGTTCCCAGCAGCTTAGAGCTGAGATCCTCTATGCATCCAACTTTAGACAAACTCCAGACTTAAGTCACAGTGGCTTATTTGGTTAGTTTCTTAACCACTGGTCCAGGTTTAAATAGTCCTCCCAAATTCCTGTTGAAATTCAACTGCCATTGTAATATCAG